AAACCTGCTCCTGCTGCAAGCCCACGGAGCCTCCTCGCCTCCGCCCCAGGGCCAGTCGCTATTAGATTAACCGTAAAGGCCTATTTGAGGAGAGGATGCAGGTCTGGACTGGGAGAATGGATTCAGGGAGCCCAGCCAACCTCAGCCCTCATTCCTGGCATTCCTGGGGGAAGGAAAAGAATCAGGTAAAGAGCTAAAGCACGACTGGAGTGGGACTTCCCAGCAAGGTGGTCACCAGCGTGGGATCTGGGCAGGCTGGGCAGTGCTGCCAATGGGCACACTCAATCCAAGGCTGCTGATGGTACCAGCTTGGTGTCCAGAGCTACCGGTGTGTGTCCCACATGGGAACAAGGAGCTTGCAAGCAGCTCTCATCAGATGCTCCCCAGGGCTTCCTTTGGAGCAGGGGGGGATTTCAGGGAGGATGGAGGCGCCCGGGGCATGGTCCCGGCCATGGGGTGTGTTTGGGAAGAAGGATGAACCCCCAAGCTGCTCACCCCCTGTGCGATGCTGCATGCCACCAGCGCTGCTCAGAGACACAGGGCTCACAAGCACCCAGTTCTCTGCACCCCAGTCCCAGACTGGGAGCCCTGAGTATAAAGACACAAATACCCTCAGAGCAGAGGAACAGGGGGGGAGAGGGAAGAAACCACTGCAAGAGAGCTGCATTTAAATACCTCTCCCCTCCTCTTTCTCAGCACAAGCCTGCCATGGAGGAACAAGCAGCTATCACATCTACAGCGTGAGGCCAGACAGCACCTATGTCTTGATGGTTTGCTGCAAGAGGTTCCCCTGCCCACCACTGGCATCACCACAGAGAGCTTCACGGTGCATTACATAGGACAAAGCACCCTGGTAAGGGGTGAGCCCCCAGTTTGTGCTCAGGAAGCTGGTTCTTACTGCAGCCCCCAAGGTAACGCACTGGGCATTCTGTCCTCAGCTCAGAGAAAGGCACGAGTCAGCAGAACCCCCCTGTGCCCCTCGGGGCACATCAATCTCAAGCAGCAGAGTGTGCACTGCTTCTGCTGACCAAAGCATCAGGACATCCTTTGTTTTGTCCAAGCGTGGAAACCTGCGGGCTATAAAGCATCCCTGGAAGGAGAGGGACCTGAGCTACCCATCACAGCCGAAACACTGCCTTGGGCACAGGAAGGCCATCACATGGCTGGGTTTGTAGCCCTTGCAGGAGCCCTGGGGGCTCCAAAACAGCCACCAAGGTGTCCCCCAACCCATAGCAACCCCCAGAGCTCACCCTGCTGCAGTGCTGCTCAGCCTCCTGCCTTCCTCACATTGGATGGAGACAGGGGACTGGAGGGCAACCCAGCCCCCTGCTGCACCCCATCTGCATCCCTGCCTGCCTGCCCACAGCTTTGGGGCATCAGAGACACTCAGAGCGAGGCGGGGTTCAGCTGTGTTGAGTCTGCATCCTCAGCAGAGCCCTGCACCCTGACGGCCACGGCAGCACGATGCACCTGAGGCTGCACCTTAATGTGCTTGCTTTGGGTGCAATGGGATTCCCCAGGGCTGGCAGAACCCTGTGTTATGGATCATGACACCACTGCTCACTGGGAGCCACAGTGGGATGCTCCATCCCGCTCAGCATCCCAAGGCTGGTCCTGTGTCTCTGGGCAGGGGGAGCAGGGTCTTGTGCCAGCAGCAGTGCCCATTGGGGCACTTCCACCATCGTTGTACCTACCCAATGCAGCAGCACATCAGCACATCCCAGCAGTGTGACATGCAGGAAAACCTTCCTGGTGAACAGAGAAAACACAGAGAGCAGGGCTGGGATTTTTAGGATGTTTTAGCCCAGCTTCTCTTGGGTAGCAGCGATTCCCCAGGGAGGAAAAGGAATGAACCCATGGATCTCCTGGGGGCTTTCCCAGTGATTCTCACCAGCAGTTCCTCTCCAGAGCCGCATGAAGATGGTTGCAGGGAGATAAGGGAGGCTCTCCCCCCTGCCCAGCAGCACAGCCTGTGTCTGCTCCGGAGAGACACCACTGCACATCCATAAGCAAAGCCAGGAAATGGGGCGGCTGCACTGAGCCCAGCAATCAAATCATCAGGCTCTAAATAAATAATCAGATGAGTACCAGGAATGCTGCCTGTGCCCGCTCCTCTCCCTGCCTGCTTGGGAAGCACTGGGCAAGGCTAAGGAGGGAAACTGAGGCCCGATGCGTGGGGACCAGCAGGAGCGCTGGTGATGGGTTCCTGATCCCTGTCTGCAGCTCATCCGAGTGGCTTTTATATGAGGAAAAGGGTTTGTGCCACAGAAGGGCCAGGGCAATGCTGGACTTCATACCCACTCACAGAGAGCTTCTCCCATCCCTGCTGCCCTGATGCAACCTCCCGCACGGATGAGGATGGATGTTCTTGCTGAAGGAGAGCTGCTATGGGGGCCATGCCATGGCCACGCTCAGCAGCAGGCCACAGAGATGCACCTTGATCCCTTTCTGGGCAGCTTTGGTTGCATGGAGGAGATCAGACGAACACAGATTTCTTATTGATTTCCAAGGCCAGAGCAGCTCCAGCCCCTGGTTATGTTTGGCCTTCCTCCTCCTGGCCCCTTTCCATAAGCTCTCTCTGCAGCTCCTGCTCATTGCGCATCACATCCCTTACTGCAGTGACAAACAAGCTGGTGCCTCCCTGCTCCCCGCTCCACGCCGGGTGTCCCTGTCACACTGTGCACAGAGCCCCATTGATGGGGAAAGGTCACCCGAGGCCAGGAGGGTGATGGCTACAAGGAGCTTTTGTGCTGGGAGTGATGGGGACCGGGGTGGGGATGCTGCCAGCTCCTTCTGTGCACTGTGTGGGATGCTCTGGGATCAAGCCCCAGCCAGCAGCATCACGCTCCTGTGCTGTTTGTAGCCCCTGGGAAAGGGGTGCTGGGGAGGGGGATACCCCAACACAGCGGTGGGAAAGAGCTCTTGGGTGATTCAGGAAGCAGGGAGTGCAGAGGCAAGCGGGATAAACCAGCTGGGAACACGTTTGGGCTGATATCCAGAGGGGATTATCACCAGCAGCACAGGGATCTGGAGGGAGAGGCTTTGCAAAGCCACAGGCACATCGTGAGCCATTCGACCATTGCTGGTTTGGATGGAAACCAATCCTGCAGTGACTGGGGTAAGGTGATGCTCCCATGTCCCAGCCACCAAGGCAGGAGCATAGTCAGGGCCTCAGATGTTATCTCTGCCCCCGTGATGTCCCCTTTGCCCCATGCTGCTGGCATGGCACTCTTTGGGGTCCGCAAGCATTGAGTATCTGGAAGCACAGAGGACTCCTGGCCGGTGCTGGTGGTGACAGCTCCAGGCTCCCTGCAGGAGCAGCTTCCCAGGGTGTCAGATTGGGAACAGAAAGGGGGATCCCTGTGTATCCGGGATGAGGTGGTTCAATAGGGGATGGCAGCGAGCAGAAGACAGCCTGGATGCCACAACCTGATGGAGAACTGAGAGGCTGAGCCCCGTCAGAGCACGACTGCAGGCTGAGGAGGGCTGGTGCTGGGTGAGCTGGGGAGGCTTTCCTAGCTTGAATGGCTCAGTGCTGGTGGCAGCCAGATGCAGCTGTGAATGCAGCCAGGAACAAGCCAGGAGAGGGCTTTTGTAAGCCTTCAAGCTGCATTCATCACCCAACCGTGAGCCCCTGGGATGATGCCCTGTGGGGCTGGCCATGCTGGGGACCCCCTTAGTTCAGTGGAGCAGAGCTGCTCCCATAGCACCACCCCTGTATCCACACCTGGAGATGCTTGGGTGGCTTCAAGCAGGAGCCAGAGGTGGAAGCCCCCTATGGGTGAGCACAACAGCAGCCCCCTTTGCTGCTGGGCTCTGGGACCAGGTCCAGCTCCTTATTTGAGTGCAGCACCAGAAACAGCCCAGAAAAGCCTTTTCCCCTGTGAACCTCACAGTGCTGAGGCGAGGGGCAGGATGCTGCTGGGTGCTGCAGGCTCCCACCAGCACAAGTGGCCTCAGCATCCACCTGTTCCAGCATAACCAGGGCTGCTGAGGAGGTTTAATTGTACCTTTAATTCCTTCAGGTGTCCAATCTTGTAGCTGTTATCTCAGGCTGACAGTTGCATACTCAGCAATGAAGTGGCAGCAAGGCTCTGCAGGCAGCAGCGGGGTCTGGACTGGTTTCCTCTCAAAACGTTGCCTTAATGGAGCTTAACAGGGCTGGCAAACTCTTCACTTGGAAGTCTCATGTTTGCCCATGTGTTGCACCAGAAACACCAAAGCAACGCGGGCTCCAACAGCAAAGGCTCCCCATTAAGAGGCATGCATGGATTTGTGTCTTCTTCCCTCCCCAGACACCCTTTTAGGCATCCATGGGATGGTGCAAACCAGGATCATCATCTCAATCATCATCCTTTACTGCTGCTTCCTCTAACGCCCTGATGTACAGAGCTGTCCCAGCAGGGATGGGATGCAGGACATCAGTCAGCAGAGCCTTTCACCTACAGGGCTGACCTGGATGCAGCAGCCAGAGGGGTTACCTGTGTGATGCTTTACAGGAATAGCTGGTACCCTCCTTAGGATGGATCCACATTTAGAGGCAATGCTATCAAAAAAGCACCTCCTGGATCACTCTCTGCCCCCAAGCTTGGGTTTCCACCCTTGAATGACCACACTTGGACATTTTAAGCTCTCTCCCTGCACCACAGTGTGTTTTACACAGGTTATGGCCCCTCAGGGCTGCATTCACCCTGCTTGTGCAGCAAGATTTCACACTGGCTTTGTCCAACGCTGCCTCTGACCCATGCCAGGACAAACACAGGCTGCTCTGTGATAGCCACCCCGTGCGGTGCTGAAAGGGAATACCCTTTGTGTTGGTTATTTGGCCATCAGTCAGTAGCATCAGTGCTCCTGGGGAGGAACCCAAGTCTTCCGGAGGTGCAGTGACCACAGGGCTCCTGTTCCCATGCTCTTGGCTGCTGGGCTCACCCTCTGCAGGCACCAAGGGCAGAGGTTTGGTGTCACTGAGGTGCCAGGGCAGCCAGCCCCCTGTGCCAAGGCTGCCATGCTCCAGTGTCTCCCCAGCTCTCCTTCAGGCTCCAGGAGCGATGCTGGCGCAGAGCTCACAGTGGTGGGTGCCTGGATGCGCTGGAAAGGAGGAAAACACAGAGCAAAAGACAGATCCTTCTCCTTCCCTCCAGCTGCTGAAGCGCTCAGGAGAGTCCTGAGAGCAAGTACTGGGTTAGATGACATCTGAAGATCAAAACAGGAGCTCCGGGGCATGGTGAATGCACCTCATCCCATCACCCAGCCATCCAGAAACACAGCCCGGGAGCATCTCCATGAGCTGCATCGGCATGTGCCAAGTGGAGATACCCACAACACAGCTCCACGGTACCCCCTGAGCATGGGTGGGAGCATGGATAATGTTTGTTGGGAACACCACTGTACCTGGGGATGGTTTGGACCTGCAAGAACCCAGCTAGCAATAACTGACAGGATGACTCCCAGCCATCAGCAAACAACGTTACTTTCCCGAAAGCAGCAGCAGCACCAGAGGGAAAATGAACTGAAGCAGGTGCGGGAAGAGTTAGGAAGTGCAAGAATTGCATTCCCGAGCCAAATGGACAGATTGAGACAGAGGAAAACAAATCGGGAAGCGAAACGGCTCCCTGTTGCCTGGATTATTCAGGCGCTGTGGGGAGGTGGAGGTTGGGTTCAGGCTCTTTCAGAGCTGTGTCTCTGTTTCAGCATCTGTGGTAGTGCTCAGCCTGGGGTGAGGATGGGTTTTGGGGTGCACTTCCACCCTGTGCAGGGCTGGGATTGCCTGGGGTGCATCCTACAGGAGCACCAGCCCCACCACCGCGATGACCATGAGCAGCCCGGCCAGGATGCAGATGCTGATGAAGACGATGTCACTGGTGTCCTGGCTCTTGATCTCACGGGTATCCATCGCTTCCCCCTCCCGCTGCTGGGCATCCACCAGGTTTTCTGCCTGGCTGAGCCTGGATGGGTCGGAGCCAGTGATGAGGGTGACGGAGGCTTCCTTCCTCTTGGGCTCACACTGCACCTCGTACCGGTGGATGTCCTCCTGGTCACCCGTGGAGAAGTCGATGTAGAGGGTGCTGATGATGACGGATGTGTTGTTGCGTTTCTGCAACACAAGGGTCACGTCTCACCAGCTCATTTCCACACGGGGTCGACTGGGTTGGCCACAGATCAGACCAGTATCAACTGGGAAGATGGGAGGGAATGCCCCTCTGCAACCAGTGTGACCAACACAGGGCTAACCATCTACTCAGCTTGCTTTAAAGGAAGGTTTGCCCATCGCTTACCTGGGATTCGGTGCCGCAGGTGTCGAACCTGGTGTGTATCTTGAAGTTCCTGCCAACCACTTGGGCTACACAGGACGGGATCCCCAAGTAAATCCTGTTCCTCTCCAGCTGGGCCAGGGATTGCACTGGGATCTGGATGTGGAAATCGGTCCGGGTGCAGCTGACGTTCATGGGCACAACTGTTGGGACACAAAGCAAGGAGCAAGGGAAGGTCCAGCAGCTTTCAAAGCTTGCTGTCCTCATCACACACAAAGCAGGCAATCAACAGAACCAGGAGAAGCAGGGACATTGGCCTCGTGAGTTTGCCATGCAGCTCTTAGTCACTGGCATTGCATGTAGGATTCACATGGGGGGTTTAGAAGGATGCTGGGGAGGGGCTCTTCATCAGGGACTGCAGTGATAGGACAAGGGGTAATGGGTTCAAACTGAAACAGGGGAAGTTTAGATTGGATATAAGGAGGCAATTCTTTCCTGTTAGGGTGGTGAGGCACTGGAATGGGTTGTCCAGGGAGGTTGTGAATGCTCCATCCCTGGCAGTGTTCAAGGCCAGGTTGGACGAGGCCTTGGGTGAGATGGTTTAGTGTGAGGTGTCCCTGCCCATGGCATGGGGGTTGGAACTGGATGATCTTAAGGTCCTTTCCAACCCAAGCCATTCTGTGGCCATCCTCCCAGGGGGATGGCCCAGCCCAGGTCCTGTCCCTCATCAACCCTCCACTGCCCCCAGGATGTTGTTACTGATGGGGAGCTGGAGAACAGTGCATGGAGTGAGCTGCTGTTGAGCTGCCCTTGATGCTGAGATGGAGAGCAAGGCAATGGGGAGCCCAGTCCCTCTCCATCACGCTCCCTCTGGATTGCAGAAAGCATCCATGCTGGGAAAGAAGCAGGGAGGAAAAATGCCTCCCTTTTTAAAGTTAATCCTTGCTCAGCTTGAACCATCCACTTGGCCAGTATGAATTATTGAATTATTGCAGCTCCCTCTGAATAAGGGATAAATAAGACACAATAAAATCAATACGGAATAAATAGTGTCACTTTGCTTCACTTAGTGCATTATAAAGCCATTAGAAGATTTACCAAATAACTAAAGTGCATTAGATCAAGAGGAGGAGAAAATGGATCCTCTCTCCTGGCATGGAGGCTCACGTTTGAATGGCCATAAATCACACAGGCCCAGCCCAAGCCATGCCCTTCTGTGAGCCCCAAAGGGAAACATCTGCGTAACTGGAGAGCTGTGGATGTGGAGGCTGAAAGGAAAACACCTACATGGCTGTGGATGTGGATATGGAGGTTGAGGTGCTCCTTTGCCACCAAGGGCAAAGGGAGAAAGGCAGGAGCCTTGGGCAGTTGGGAGAAGCCACATCCTCTCCATAATGGGGCTTCCCCCTGCTCTTCAGCATCCCATCTATCTGCAAGCTCCTCCATTGGGAATGGGGTTTCTCCATGGCCAGATATGGTGAGGCCAAGATTTCTCTCCCTGCACACTGCTGTAAAGCAGTAAGAAGCAAGCAGGACATGAACAGGGACTCACCTGTACTAAATCCCTGTTAGATGTCTGGTACAACCTCCCTTCCTCCAGAGCCTCGGGACAAAACTCCATCCCATCTCGTACTCCTAGAGCCACCTCCCCCCGAATCCCTTCTGCTGCACTGGAAACAAAGAACGTTTTGGTGTGGAGGGATAAAAGCTCCTAAACCCATGGCCAGCCGCCCCCAGCGCCTGCGCCACTGGTCCAGCAGCCCTGCTGCGGCTCCAGTCTGCCGGTGAGGCTGCTCCTGTCTGAGTCATCCCTGACTCACAGGTCAGCTCAGATGTGATCATCTTCAAACACAACAAACACCGTGAACTGCCTGGCTTCTGAGGTGCAGAGGTTGGCAGATACACAAGGAAGGTCGCACACCGGCTGCAGATGCACTGGCTGGGATACGGGGCATGCTGGCGGCAGGGAATGCTGGGCAGGCCCAGCTGTGTGGATTTGGGAGTGCCGAATCCCAGGGATCCTGCTCCTGTGATGCTGCAGGTGTGGATGCTATGTCTGCCTGCTCAGCCGTGTGCCAGCGGGGATGGAGCATCCTGGGGAGCAGGGAACAGGGTGGTGATGCTGGAGCTGGTCACCTCTCCACAGGCTTTGGTCCCCTAAAATCCCCCAGGGTTTTACAATCATAGAATAGTTTGGGTTGGAAAGGACTTTAAGATCATCAAGTTCCAACCCCCCTGCCATGGGCAGGGACACCTCACTCTAAACCATATCACCCAAGGCCTCATCCAACCTGGACTTGAACACTGCCAGGGATGGAGCATTCACAACCTTGCCTGTTTCCAGCCCTAAGGGAGCAGCAGGGGCATGGCAGCGACACATACACAGGGAGAAGAAGGTGGAAAGCATCTCCTGAATACTAAATGATGTGCAGCATGTGGGAGACACACTCTGCAAGAGCTGGAGCTCACCCACCCCATCTTCTCCATCCCGTTCCTGAAGAGCCACGTACGTGCTCTGCTCCTGCAGACGGGTGTCTGTTCACTGCACAGTCCTCATGGAGATTACATGGTCTCGGGCATATCCCAATGGAAATAAAGCACTGAGAGCACCCAGGTCAGACCTCACCTCCCACATAGGCGATGGAGAAGCCCCTCCTGGCCGTGTTGCGGTCGGTGTGGAGCACCAGCAGCACCCGGTTGCTGTGGGAGGTGACGGGCGCCGGGCTCTCCTGCCCGCACCACTGCCCCAGCAGGGACCCGTTCTCTGCACCACCATCAAAGGCAGCCACATGGTCATAGTCACAGCTGCCCGTCAGGCTGCTCCGGCCCTCCAGGTCCATGTCCAGGAAGAAGATCCTGACCCGGTAGCCCGGGGGCAGCTGGATGCTCCACTGGCACTTGAGGTTGTTGGGATAGAAGTTGGGGTACCGAGGGCTGGAGAAGTTCCCTTTGATGGCAGTGAACACCTCCTGGCACTCGCCTGCTCAGGGAGAAAGGGGAAAGGAAAACGTGAAACCAAACCTGAAGCCCCCGGGTGTGGATGAGCTGGCAGATGAGCAGTCACTTCTTTTGCTGCTAAAGGATGCTCTGCCCTTTACCTCACTGCTCCCTTGCGTTTGGCCAAGGGAAACCTACTAGTTAGAGGGGATGGCAATGGCTGAGGTGGCCAAAGTCCTACAAGAGCAGATGGTTTTCACCCATATCCCCAGGGAATGGCATGAGCAAGGAGAAGGGTGGCTCTTGCTCAACAGAAAGACACCCTGGGGCCTGGGATAGCCACAACAGTACCCTTTGCATCATATGGTGGTTTACAATTCACATCATATGGCAGTTTACCCTTCACATCGTCCTCTCATGAGCTCTCCATAAAGGGCTCCCCTCCACTGTCATCTCTTGCTGCCATGGGAGGTAAGAGCATCACCATCACCACCACCCCAGGGACCCATCCCCACGTCCTTCCCACTGCCCCCCCACCCCGAGCTCCCCCCTGACCTGAGTAGAAATGGGCCTTGAAGCCCCTGCCGCCGATGTTGAAGTCTGACTTGAAGAGGATGAGGAGGTGCGGGCTGGAGGACACAGTGCGGGGCGGGCGGGCGCTGCCGCAGTAGCGTCCCAGGCGGGGGGCAGCGGCCGTGGGGCCATCAAATACAGCCACGTAGTCAAAGCCACAGCCCTGGCCCCCCTCCACCTGGAAGTCCATGAACACCAGGGTGAGGGGTGTTCCACCGTCGGGTGCCCCGATGCTCCAGCGGCACTCGGCATCATTGGGGTAGCTCTCGGGGTAGCGAGGGCTGGTGATCTCCCCTGACAGCCCTGTCAGCTGCCCACCGCAGGCGTCTGTGGGGAGACACAGGTGATGAGGATGCTGGTGAGGACCATCCAGGACCATGGATGCTCTGCCACCTCCATCTCATCCCCATACCTTTCCTGTAGGCAGCAGAGAAGCCGTGCTTGGCCACGTGGCGGTCGGAGCGGAAGACAACAGCCATAACGTGCCATGCGGAGGAGAAGGCTGGCGGGGGGCTGTGGCCACAGAAGGTGCCCAGGAGGTTGCCCTGGTCCCGAGCAGCCCCGTTGTAGACCTGGAGGTAGTCGTAGGCGCACGTAGTGTGGTACTCGAGCTCGAAGTGGCTGAAGGAGAGCAGGACGGAGGAGCCCTCGGCCACCACGATCAGCCACGTGCACTCCGTCTCGTAGGGGTACAGCCCTGGGAAGTTGGGGCTGGAGAAATTGCCAGAGGGTGCCGAAAGCACCCCCCCACATTTGATGCCTGGAGGACACAGAGGTGGATGTGATGTCCCCTTTCCAGGGGAAGCCTGGAAGAACAGAGATGGGGTACACAGCACTGGCTCCATCCCAGCATCAGCACCCTGCAGACCTCCCCTGGGCTCGGCCACCCCTTCTCCTTTCTCCCATGTGTCCCACCATCACCTTTCATCCCTCCATGTAACCATAGAATCATAGAATAGTTAGGGTTGGAAAGGACCTTAAGATCATCAAGTTCCAACCCCCCTGCCATGGGCAGGGACACCTCGCTCTAAACCATATCACCCAAGGCCTCGTCCAACCTGGCCTTGAACACTGCCAGGGATGGAGCATTCACAACCTCCCTGGGCAACCCATTCCAGTGCCTCACCACCCTCACAGGAAAGAATTTCCTCCTTATATCCAATCTAAACTTCCCCTGTTTAAGTTTGAACCCATTACCCCTTGTCCTATCCCTACAGTCCCTAATGAAGAGTCCCTCCCCATCATCCCTATATACCCCCTTCAGATATGCCCTTGAGCTTGTCCTGCTGGGATAGCACAGCATCCCCTCTATTTATTGCTGGGAAAAAGAAAGTAGGGCGAGTTTTCAAGGGTCCCCCATCTCCCCACCCCTTCAGCCTCCTGCTCATGATGCTCCCCCCGTATCATGGCAGCATCGATGAATTCAAGCTGGGAGGAATAGGGGTGAAGGGCTCGATGTGCTCAACAATGAGTTATGCACATAGGGATCGATTTCATAATGAAATCTTTATCCTGAGACATGGTTATTATAAAATAAGGCGGGGAGGGGAAGGCTGCCACCTGCCCCTGGGTCTGATTAGGGCTGAGGTGAAGAGGCTGCTATCGCGGGCACATACATCATGTCTGCGAGGGATGCAGCCCCTGTGAGGCCCTCAGGAGACACGTGCAGGTTCCCATCAATCTGGGCCAAGTATATTGCAAATCAATAGTGAGGCAGCGTGCATTGCTTTCCATCACACCCACTCTGCAGTGACCTGCCAGCAAGGGGGGTCCTGCGGATGCCCTGCGGATGCCTGGGATGCAGCACAACAGCAAATGGGTAAAGGGGTGTTTGCTTAAGCAGCAAAGCTAGCCAGATCAAAAACCATCTTGCTGATTACTGGGGATAGGCGATACAGTCACATGGGGCTGGTAGTAAAGGAATGATGTTATTGAAATAACCCTGCCCTGCATCCCACGGGTGGTTTATCCAGGTAAGGGGAGAGGTTTATTGCATGCACAGCAACATACACATACATACACACCCCCATATACATATATATACATCTGTGTTACAATGGCATGTAGTGAAAGGACAGGGGAGAATGGCTTTAAGCTGAGAGAGAGGAGACTGAGATGAGCTCTTAGGCAGAAGCTCTTCCCTGTGAGGGTGCTGAGGCGCTGGCACAGGGTGCCCAGAGAAGCTGTGGCTGCCCCATCCCTGGCAGTGTTCAAGGCCAGGTTGGACACAGGGGCTTGGAGCAAGCTTCTCTAGTGGAAGGTGTCCCTGCACATGGCAGGGATTGGAATTGGATGAGCTTTAAGGACCCTTCCAGCACAAACCATTCTGGGATTCTATATTTATGTAGGCACGTGCAACCCCAGAAGTTAAAGAAACCCTTCAGCAAAGCCCCTGTACACCACAAAAGGACATCCCCTACCTGCAATCTTCAGTAAAACAAGTGTGAAGCAGCAGAACAAGCACATGGCAGTGCCCCACACTTGCTGTCGCACATGGTGGCTCCAGATCCCAGCTCCTTTCCCCAGGCCAAGCTGAGGGAAGCGAGTCCCAGTCCCAGGGACCTGCTGGCACCCAGAGCCAATAAGCACCCACAATCAGCCCTCTCCTCCCTGGGGACCACGGATGCCCATGCAGTGCCTGTGTCCCCAGTAGGAGCTGAGATTGGGCTCTTACCTCTGCCTGGAGCATCCCCGAGAGCCCCACACAGCAGAGCCAATGCTGCCAGGCAGCCTGCCCCCATGCAGCCCATCCTCCAGCAGGTATATCTCCCCTCAGCAGCACGCGAGCATCCTTTTGGAGCTGTCTATGTGGGAGGGAAATAAATAACTAAGTAACTAAATAAAAAAGCAGGAGGCCTGTAGAATTAATAATGGAATGAATAATTCATCGCTTGTTTGAATTAAGAGCGGCAAGGCAACTTGATCTATTCCTCCCTTCCTTCACTCAGTTTTAATGATCTGGATCAAATGTCCCAAGGATTTACACTATACCAGATACCTTGTCAATACACTATATTTAGAAGAGATATTAATGTTTCAGATATGGTGTATAACGGCAATAAGTCTGGGCTGACAATATGCCCTTAAGGGGCTATGAAAATAATTTAGCTCACCAGTCGAGCCAGTGAACCAAAATGGGGATTTCAGACTTGCCGCAGAAAAGCACCTCAGGAATGACCATGATTTATGCTATGGCACCCACTGCACAAAGCCAACGGGTGGTAAACGCTGGGGAAACAGGGACTAGGGTTTAACTGCAGCCAGCTGCCAGGTCAGCATCCCTGCAGCAAGAGCCCAGGCTCAGCGGGATGCTCAGCGCGGGAAAGCGGCAGTCAGAGCACTAAAGATAGCAAATCCCCCCTCCCCTGAGGGCCCTTAGAGATGAATTGTGACTCACAGGCAAGAAAACATCGATTATTATAGAACCTTGTAGGGCCTTGGAGAATCACCAGGTTCTGCCATGCCGGCTCACTCTCAGGCTCCTGGATGCACCAGGCTGATGGTGCTCAAACCTTTGTGTTCAGAGGGAGAGATGTGCCACGTTAACTGGAAAACCCCAGTCCCAGCAGCAGTTCAGTTCATTCCCGCCTGCCCAAGAGGGAAAAGACTTTCCTGCTGCCATATCCCACATCCAGATGAATACCAGGAAACAAAACCCACGAGGGTCTCATGGCTTGAGGGACCTGAAGAAGTCACCTTCAAGGCAGCAGGGGAAGCAGCAGCGCCTATCTCTAAATCTCAGGCGAGGAGACAAGTTGCATTTATTAATTAAGCAATGAGGATCGATGCCCCAGACATTTCCTGTGGATTAATGATGGGCTGGGAGGAGCTGACGGCCCGAGGTGCTGCTAAGGACCATTAACGCCAACTGGTCATGAATCCCCAGGAAATGCTCCATGCCAAGGTCGTTAAGTGCCGCAGGATATTTATGGGCAATAATAACAATAACATTTGTACAGGCTCTCTCCTCGCTGCCTGGCCTCACTGGTATTGGGGCATCCCAGCCAGGAGCCCTCCATCCTGAGCTGAGCTGAGGGGGGGACCATCAGGGTGTCTGTCCTGGGGTGCTGAGCACTGCATCACCCCACCAGCACCAAGAGGAAGAGCAGGAGATGCAAGGCAGCCCTGCCTGTCCCTGGGTACTGCTCCAGTGCAGGCTCTGGGAGATGGCTGTGATGCTGGTGGTGACCTCCCAGGGATGCTGCAGAGCTCAATTATCTGTATCCCTAACAGGCTTGGAGAGGAGGTCTGTCCCCATGCCTTGTGACACACGTGCGGCCACAGCCTGCAGCAAAGAGGCAGGAGATGTCTGGCACCATGGCCTGTGGTGCTGGGGCTTCTCCTGGATGCTTGCACAACCACAGCCCTCATAGTGTCAGTCAGAAGTGCTGAACCTTCCCAGCCATGATCCCCTGGGATCAGGGACAACGTGCTCCCTGACTTCTCCATCACTGCACAACAGAGCAACACATTCATCCTCACCACATCCACCTCCAGCAACACCCAGCGTCCCCCAGCCCTTCCACCACCAGCCTCAGTGCCGAGCCACATCCCAGCATGGAGCCAGTGTCCAGGACACTGGTACCTACACGGCCACTCCTCTCCATCCCTCCAGCTGCGCTCTGCATCAGGGATACCCCTGGGATACAGGGACCGGGGCCGTGCAGCACAGCAGCTGTGCCCCACTCCCAGGAGACCTCATCCATCAACCACAGGCACATTCCCCCTCCTCCTGACCTGGGGATGGCCATTCCCTGGCTGGGTCTGAGCACAGGATACACTGCTCAGGGTGGATGCAGCAGGGATGCAGGCAAAGGAGTCAGGCATGGAGGTCAGAGGTGCTTTGGTCCCAGCCAAAGTGGGTGATTTCGAGGTGTGCTGTATCAGGGCTGCCTCTGTTCCTCTGTGGGCAAATTTATAAATCATGAGTGAAAAAGGCATTTGATTCATTTAAATAGAAAGGATGTGATGAGGACTGCCAGACTTCAGAGAAGATCAAAGGTTTAAATACGGTCCCCAGGAGAAACGGGAATTATTTAGGCAGGAAAGAACGAGATGAAATTAAGAAGGTATTTAGGCTGCACATGTGGAAGAAGAAAGGAAGCGAAGGGAAAGCCCTCTCCCCAGCACAGCACTGCAAGGGTGATGGGGGCTTCCTGGGCGCAGCCAGAGCACTGGGGCACCCTACCAGCACCCCTGTCCTACCAACCACTGCAGGGAGCTCAGGCACCTCCAGCTCCAGCGATCCCACATAATCGACAGCATCACACCATCCCCTGTGAAACTGCCACCGCAGGGTAGTTCCCAGGTTCCAAAGGATGCAAACCTCTCATCCTCCCTCTGTAGGGGAAATCCTGCCCGTGAGCTTTTCCATTCCACATCCCTGCCTTTGTGGGAGCACCACGCTAGCCTCTAAAAGGGGCTGTCCCCAGTTGGAAGAGGCGACTCCAGCCTGGGAAATGACAAAAGGCAGGAGGGGGGAAGGGAGAGCAGGGGATGGGGAATAAAGAACAAAGTGCCTAGGGGCGGTTTAAAGGCCCCTCCGAGTTCATCCTTCCAAAGCCACCGTCTCCCCTATGGAGAACGTCTCGCAGAGACCCCATCCCCTCCGGCGAGGCACGCATCACCTCCTCCCGCTCTGCCTGCAGCCTGCCTCTGCAGGATTGCAACCCGCAGCACTCACAGCTTGCTCCGTCTCTCACCACCCTCCCTTTTAGCCAGGAACAAAGACAGGAGGCTTCGCGGCAGAACGGCCACACCAGCTGGGGAGGGTTTATCCATCCTGGCCCATATGTGCTGAAATACCCAGACATATTGGGGTTGTGTTTAAAGGAACAGGCCCAGCTTTCACACACAAAGTCGTCGCTTTCCCGAAGCGAGCGTGAAGTTATACCTCAGGCCTGTGCAAAAGGGATTTTTAGCAAAGCCTCAAAAAGGCAGAATATTTAAAGCAAGAGGTAAAGAAGGAAGGTTTTCAGAGAAGATCAAATCCAAGGGACATATCTGTGTTCCTAGCTAAGGCTAAAGCAGGGAGGATAAGGATAAAGCAACTCCTTGTACCAGCCCCATGCTGCGCAGAAGCACCTCCACTACACAGTGGCTTACAGCAACTGAAGTATGGGTTTGGGTGGGAAGAGCGAGCTTGCTCTGGATCTACCCTGGAGAACTCCCCTGGATTTCTCTGCAGAACCCTGTTTTGGCTTTCCTGTCAGCTCTTGCTCTGATGAAGTTAACATAAAAAAGCTGCAGCTATATTGGATTAAGTCCAAGCATTTGGTAACTGGAGACAAATCTCACTGATGCAAGGGGAACTGATGGTTCCTCCCAGCCTGAGAATCAGAGCCACCATTTTAGTGCATATTGCTTGTTTTGAGTAACTCTTGAAGTACATCTCCTTTGGGTAAGGTGTACTATTTGATACAGATAAAAACTGAGGCCTGAATAGGAACGTGGCATCATCTGTCACAGCCACGTCACAGGATGAAGCAGGAATGAACAGAAAAACACAAAGGTGTGCAGAAAGGCTGTATTTCCAGGTGTAGTTGGTACGGACAGTGGTCTAAAAGAGCAGAAAGAGGGTATCTCAGAGGAAAGGTAGCAGCACCTTGGGTTGAAATAGAAGGGGCTGGGGCACACAGGCTGGTGCTGTGCCAGGGCTGCCATCCCCAGCAGTCCTTGGCTCTGTGCCCTGACCCATGGGGAGCACCCAGGCGGAGCCCCATGAAGCTTTCACTCCTCAGGTTGTGTTCTTGTACACCTATAGCACTGCCTTGGGCACCTGAGTGAGCCCTGTGAGAAACAGAAACAGCTGTTTATTTGGAAAGAGGTTCAATTTAATGAACCAGAGCTACGATACAACACTTGGGGGACATGGAAAGCAAACAAGCGTCCTCGCTGGCAGATAGCAGCTACATCCTGGATGCTTTCTCTCAGTTTTAGGACATGCTCTTTCTCTCCCCAGGCAGCATTTCGAGCATTAAGGACCAGGGTAGGTAATGCAGGCTGGAAAGGCTTTTTCCACAGATCAGTACCTCCTTCTCTGTATTAGTGTGTAACAGGGCAACTGAGGCACAGAGAGGTGGAAGTGACTCGCCTGCCATCACCCAGCAAGGTAATGACACAACTGAAATGAACCCCAAGGACTCCAAAGTCCTTGGCCAGGCAGTCTTCTCCCTGAGGATTAAGCCTCTCCCCTGGAACATCTATCAGGGCACAATACCACTGCAGACTAACACAGATTGCAAAGCAACTCCCTGATCTTCATGTTACAGCAGAGCTCTGTACTTGGACACCTTTAGTGCCCTTAGGAGATCCCCCTCCTGAAACTGCATATGAAGGCTTCCATTATCATTACCATGCTGTTCCCTGAGGTGTGGGTGGCACAGCACACAGCAGCCATTCTGGAATGGCACCCGTTCCTTAAAACACTCAAGAGTGAGAATCATAATGGAGACAAACACTTGATCCAAAGGCCTCTGTAAGTATATGCACAAGGAACCCAATCTATCAAGACAACCAATTTTGTGCAATGCAATGCCTGCAGAGAAATGAGGACGTCCAAGGCTCAGCCTACGGTTCCTCAGGTCAGGAATATCCTGCTAAAAGACAAAACAGGAATCTTCTTCAATTCCTGCAGCTTTAAGATATCTACTCATATCTTCATTGAATGCAGAGGAGCCACAGATTAACACAAATGGCCTTCTTCTGCAGGAATTTATTATAGTCTTCATCAAGCCTTCATCGAGACGACCAGTGTACGTGTGCTCCTGATAGCTCCAGGGGAGTTGTTCCAGGGAAGTTTCCTGAAAAGACAGTTTTGCAGTGTGTCATGTTAAAAAGGACAAATAATTGCTTACAGCAAACCTCCCTCCTTCCCTCAGAGTGCTGCACAGGACAGTCTCGGGGCAGAACTGACCCTTCCAAAGCCCAGATCACATCCTTGCTGCAGTACTTGGCCACTCACTCATAGGGAACTGCATAAAATCAGAGTGTAGCTATCACAGAATGGTTTGACTTGGGAGGAACCTTAAAGCTCCTCCAGTTCCAACCCCTGCCAGGGGCAGGGACACCTTCCACTAGAGCAGCTTGCTCCAAGCCCCTGTGTCCAACCTGGCCTTGAACACTGTAAGGGATGGGGCAGCCACAGCTTCTCTGGGCACCCTGTGCCAGCGCCTCAGCACCCTCACAGGGAAGAGCTTCTGCCTAAGAGCTCATCTCAGTCTTTTCTAGTTTATTTCCCCCTTGTCCTATCACTAT